GGGGAGGGGTTGTCCAATATATTGCCTGTCTCTCTCCATAAGTTCAGACTTTTAGAGTAACTCGTCTAACAAAAACAACAATACTGCTCACAAGACAATTCAGAAACAAACAAACAAAATGATGTAATAATGAGTATACACAGTGCTCCAAAATGGAGCTTTCATGACATTGTTTATGTCAAAAAGCGTTGAGTAACACAAACTAGAAACCACACAGAGAACTCAGTAAAACAAGTAAATCAAATGATCCTGGAGTGGTTTACCATTGTCCAAAGGTCCAAATATAGTATGTGAGATGTGAAGCCCCCTTCATGCCTCTTACAATTAGGTGGTACCATGTTGATTTTTCAATTGATACTTTTGGAAGATAACTCAAACGTGGTAGAATGATTAAGAAATTTTAGAGGAACGAACATGCAGGACATGCTAACTGGTACTTTGGAACTCGCAAGTCACTCCTCACATTATCTTGCCAATTAGAAGTTAGTAAGAACAATACAACTCTGTTACAAGTATAAACATCCTGAAGTGAACGAAATTAATAAATTTACAAACAGATGCACTTATAGATATTAATAAGAATCACCTTAGTTTTTCTCAGAATGCCTTTAGGGTCACAAGTTGCTATCCAACCAATCCTCCAGCCAGGTACAGCCCATCTCTTCGATATAGCTCCCAAAGTGATTACCGGAACAGTCTCTCCAAAAACACCCATTGGCACAAAAGGTGTGGTGCCATAGACAAGGTGACCATATACTTCATCAGCGATGACTAAAATACCGAGCTTGCTTGCCATATCTGCAATCTAATTTAACATGGAAGCAAGAAAATAAGCTCTATTACAACAAATAGAAAGAGAAGAAAGGTTACCTAGCTCTGTAACAAACGCTATACAAACCTTGGCCAAATGCTCGTAGGTATACACACTACCACATGGGTTGTTGGGGTTGGTAATCACAACTGCAACAGTATTCCCATCTGCGAGAGCTTCAACAGCTTCCAAATCAACCTCCCATCCTCTCTCCGGGAGAAGACCATAATGCCGTACTTCCATCCTATGAAACACTGCATGTGCTTCGTGTTTTGGGTAGCCAGGCATTGGCAGCAATATGTTGACGCCTGCTTGGCCAAAAACAGACATCACAGTCTCGATTGCTTGGCTACCTCCACAAGTGAGGAAAATATCATCATGGGAAATCATGTAAGGAAGATCACGGGATAGATACTCGGCAACAGCTCTGCATTTCAACAGACAGTGTCAATACAAGTAAAGCAGCACATATATATTACTGAAACAGCACACATGGAGGATTTTCTACACAATCGTACTGTGAAGAGCACTGTTCTGAAAATGCACAGAACAGGATGGAGTGTGACGACTACATTTTTGTGCCCTGTTTTTTGTAATAACCTAAATGTTGTACAATAGATCATATATGTAAACTGTTTCCTTATCACAGGTTTCATTCACAGTAATGGAACTTGGGAGTGCTCTATAATGTTTAGACTTGTTCACTCTGATGGGTATGTGATATGAGGAAGCTGCTGAAGACAAACCTAATCATGGAATTGAAACGGATAAGGGGGATCACATGGCAGATTAATGTAGGGCAAAGTAGGTCTGCGGTATGAACTATGTGAACTCTCCATGACAAACCTACACATACAAAATCTAGGACCTAGCAATAGCAATAGCTCTAGCAGTCACTCTGTAGTCTGTAGCTCTTCATTCATTCAGTTCAAGGCGGTCCATGATATGTTCTGAACGGGACAATGGCAAACGAGAGACGGGGCACACAGACCTGCGAGCGGGGAGGCCGGTGGCGGGGGTGGGGTACCCGTTGTACTCGCCGGAGCGCACGGCCGCGACGAGGGCCTCCTCCGCCTCGGGCGCGGTGCGGAAGGAGGGTGCGGAGGAGGGGTCGCCGTGGCTCAGCGCGATCACGGGCCGTGGGCCGCGCTCGTCCAGGCAGGCGTGCACCTGGAGGAGGGCCTTCTGGATGCTCCTCTCGCCGGCGGCCGCCAAGGTCGGGTTCGGGGCCGCGAAGCGCCACTGCGTGCTCCTCCCGCCGTCTTCCATCGCCGATGTCGCGGATGGTAGGAGGATAGCAGCTTTTGTCTTCGGCGTTTTGTCGTGTGAGTACTGGGGAGGTGTAGGCGAGAAGGAGGGTGTGCTGGAGAAGATGGTCGGAAATACAGTCGCCGATGGTGCGCTGCTCTACTTGCTGCTCAAGTTGGTCCTTTGCTCTGTCCCCTGCTCGTTCGCCGTGGCCGTAGCCGTTCCGTTCCCAGCCACCCTCCTCTCTTGTCCTCACCTCTGTGTATTCCAAGGCCATCAACGGGCCCACACCTGACCTTCTTTTACAAATAAAGGCAGGAGAGCTGCTCTCCCACTCCTCACTGGCTAACCACTTGTCCTTATGTCAACTCCACCGCGCGGCCCCAAACGGACGTCCGTTTTGTCCTTTTTTTGTCCCTTTGGTAGAAATTTGGGGTCGTGTCCGGGCCTGTTCTGAGATGCGGTGGCCGTGCGCCCAGCGCGCTGCCGCATCCTTTTGCCCCATCCTGTCCGTCAGGGCCAAGAAATGCCCAAATTTGCATTAAAACTAGTTTCGAACCCAAATTTTTGTCTGAAAATTAAAATAGTTTTATAACCCAATTGAAATTGTCTTTAATAAAATAGTTTTACAACCAAATCAAAATTGTCTTGACTGAACATAAAATGGATAAATACATCTATTGGTTGCCAATGTGATCCCACACGTGCTCAACCAAGTCATTTTGAATATTCACATGAGTGTGCCAATCACGCATCTCATGGTGGAATTGGACAAACTGTTCAAATGTGGCCGGGTCTTGGTGCAGGGGCTCAATATTTTCACCTTAATAATCAAATCCTTGGTCGAAGATACTCTCATCACGCTCGTCCTTGACGATCATGTTGTGCATGATCACACAAGCAGCCATCACCTCCCAAAGCTTCCCTTCATCCCTTGACGTGGTTTGGTATGGACGGCAGGGGGGCTGCGCGGTGAGAAGGCGACCGGAGAATAGCGGCGGCGCCGACGACGGGGCGGGGCGGGGAGAGAGGGTGAAGCGTTGCGAGCGGAGGGACTGCTAGTGTCCCCGACAGGCGGGCCACGGGGGGGACAAGGGCGTGCGTCGAGGCCGTCCGCGCGCGTCCGTTTCACCCCAAACCGAGCGCAAGTTTGGGCCGGGGATGGGTCAAAAACGGACGGAATCCGGACATTTGTCCGTTTGCGTCCGCGCGCTGGGCCGTCTCGTTTGTCCTTTTTACCCCAAACGACGGGGACGAACAGGATAGGGTCGCGCGGTGGAGTTGGCCTTATCTGGAAGGTTACCTCACATGTTGTTTTTTAAGATTTGTCATTTGGCGCTTAAAATATTCTCAAAAGATTTTGATCAAAAACACAAACAGCATATACCATTTTCTCATTTTTTTTCCTTGTTGGGCTTTATCCATATACCATTCTCTCTCTTTTCCCCCGGAGGAACTGACCAGGCCCGCCCACGTGGCACGTGCTGCTGGCCACGGGAGCTATGTCTAACATTAAGAGTTGTCCTAAAAAAACATTAAGAGCTTTTACAGCCGGACTGACAAATCTGATCCGTCGAACGTCGAACTTGACAAATCCGATCCATCAAACGATCGCGGGCGCATCGAACACGTCCGTGAGCAGTGACCGGTTACACCTTAAATTAGCTCAAATTCATCCCCTAGATCCATATAAACCATGTAAGACAAATCCTACGTACTACCCAAGCTAAGCTTCGTCGTCGGAGATGTCCACGACGCTGGTGCCGAGCGTCGGGTGGACGTGCGCTTAGGAGGGCTCCGACTCATCCTCCTCCTGCTCAACCTTATTAGGCAAGCATCTCCTCCTCCTATGCGGCGTCTCCATCTTCTGCCGGCGACGGTGTCTGGCCTCTGCATCCAACTCTGAGCGGAAGGAATCGAAGATAGCCTGTTGCTCCACCTGCAAATCCACGTCCCTGGCGTCCCCGCATCCTCCTTCGGCTCCTCCTCCGGATCCACTACATCCGGAGGGAGCCCCGCGACGATCCAGGCTTCGCGTCTTGCTCGGATTTGTACAAGGAGCTGCAGCTGACGCTCCGGCATTAGAAATGGGTAGCCCCTTACCTGGCGGCGTGGGGCCATGGCTATTAGTGGTGGCGGAAGGGGAGCGGAAAGTGGCGGCGGCGGCGGACGGGTGGGAAAATGTGGAGGGGTAGGATTTTGGTGTCGGCGGTTGGCTTGAATAGACGGGCTAGGCACTACGCGGCCCGTCAGAGCGGCGCCATGCGGAGACATCGGTCTGACGGAAAGAGACGAGCTACGGACCATCGGATTTCCCAAGCGATTCCGCATGGGACCATGCCGTCAGTCCGGCGTGGCGGACGCGCCCGGGCTTAGGTTGGATATGAGGGGTGCCGGCCAGTCTCGGGCGTTTGAGGCGCCTGTCTGGCTTGAAATTTCATTACCGATCGATCAACGGGCGGCCTACCGGGACGTTTGGGATGCTCGGCTGTAGATGCTCTAAACGAGAGAATAGCATGTCTCGTTGAAGGATTTTTTTTCTCTATTGTAGTAACTGGGCCGACCGTTTAGAGAAAGAAAAAGGGTCCGTCTATCTTGAGATTTCGTGAAACGTCAGTCATTGTGCGACCCACCGGGGCGTTTGAGAGGCCTGACTGTAGATGCTCTAAGCGAGACAATAGCATCTCTTGTTGAAGGATTTTTTTTTCTCTACTGTCAGGATCGGCCGTTTATAAAAAGAGAAGGGGGAGCAAAAAAAGCTCACGATACCAGGATTCGAACCCTCCTCTCCTAGATTAAAACGGGCAACGTAGCAACTTACACAAGGACTTATTAATGATTAACTAAAGGCACGGCCTGCTTTAAGGTAAAAGAGCCGACGGTATCCATGTTTTCCTATTTTATTTGATTTTTTCTGGTTTTTCCTTTTTTTCGTGCACTTTTTTAATTTTCCTTTTTTCATTCTTTTTTGCACTATGTTTCTTCGCGTTTTTTATGTTTTTGTTTTTAATTTTGTTTCATCGGGTTTTCTTTGTTTTTCTCTATTTTATTGAGGGTTTTTCCCTCTTTTTTCATTGCCTTTCTTCAGTTTTCTTCAAATCTTTCTTGGTTTTCACTTTATTTTTTGTGTTCTTTCCCTTTCTTCATTTTTCTTTGGTTTTGTTTCCTTCTTTCTTGTTTTTCATCGGTTTTCTTTAAATACCAGATTAACATTCTTTGAATACATGCACAACATTTCTTTATACACATTTCACATTTTTTAAGTTCTTAATTAGCCTTTTTAAAATACAAGTTTAATATTTTTTTAATACATGATCAACATTTTTTATAAACATTTAACATTTTTCAAATGCTTGATTAATATTTTTGAAATATTTACTCAACATTTTTAAATGCTTCATTAACATTTTTAGATGGATGATAAAAAAAATTCATCATTTTTTTAACACATGGTCAACATTTTTCCTGTATGCATTTAACGTTTTCCAAGTGCTTGATTCATATTTTTCAAATATGTGTTCGTCATTTTTCAAATGCTTGATTAACATTTATATATACATGATAAATTTTCATCATTTTCTAGTACATGTTCGACTTTTTACTATACATATTTAATTTTTTTGCCAAATGCTTGTTTAACATTTTTCAAATACTATTTCAACATTTTATCTAAACACATATTTAACATTTTTATACACATGATAAAAAAATCATCATTTTTTAATACATGATCAACAATTTTTCTATTTGCATTCAACATTTTTCCGAATGCTTGATCAACATTTATAAATACTTATTAAACATTTTTCAAATTCTTGTTCACCATTTTCTCAAATGTTTTTTAGACTGCTTTTTCAAGTATATATATTTAGAATATTTTAAAGTATAAATAAAAGCAAAAATGAAAACAGAAAAGTGCCTGTTGCCTGCCGCGCGTGTGGGCGGGCCCATCTCACTCGCCCCTTCAGCGAGTCCAAGGCGAGAAATAAGGATGCCCCTGATGGTTGACCCTATGCCCTCTCGGGCGGAGGACGCTCTCTGCGTCAAGTTGTTGCCATTTCGCACAGGGGGGACTTCGACTGGGCCGGCCCACGAAGACAGCAACAGAAATCAAACGCGCACTGTAGCTAAAAAATAATATGCGCTGACGGGGACTTGAACAGACGATGTCCCGCTATAGACGATGTGTTACTGCCAACTGAGCTAGCCATTGTAGGTGATCTAACAACTAGCAACAAACTTAAAGAACAAACCAGATGTGCAGAACCGAATTAGTTTAGGAATTTCGAAGCAATTTTTTTTTCAAAAAACGGAATGTTCTGTGAAACGTAAAAACTTACCAAATCTATAAAAACAATTAAAAAATTAAAAACTATATTTTTTCGAAAAACAAGAACATTTTTTGAAAATCCTGAGCATTTTTCGAAACAAGAAAAATTTTAAAAATTTCAAAATTTTTGGAAACGTGAACATATTCTGAAATTCCTTAACAAAATTTCCAAACACGATTTTTTAAAACTTGTGAACAATATTTAAAACTGGAACATATTTTCAAACTACTGCAAAAATGAAAACATGAACAATTTTTTAAAAGAGGAACATTTTCTAAAAATTGTGGAACTTATTGAACAAAAACATTCCAAACAAATTTAGTAAAAACAAGAACATTTTTTGAAATGCCCGAACAATTTTTTGAAAAATGCGAACATTTTCTGAATTTTGAGCAATTTTTTTAAACATGAACATTTTTTGAAATATGGAACTTTTTTTAGAAATACGGACAAATTTTGAACTTTATGAACAATTTTCAAAAGAAACAAAAAAAGGAAAATAAACGGAAAACATAAAAGAAAATAAGAAAAAGAAACCAAAAAAGGTAAAAGAAAAAAGAAAAAACGAAAAACGAAAAAACGAGAAACGAAAAAACCTCTAGAAGAAACAGGAAATACGGTCAAAAAGGAAAAAACGGTTCAGGGAACCTTCTAGAGGGTTCCCAAAACCGGATAGCTAGCTCTGGTTTAATGGGCCGGCCCATTGTTAGCGATGCTGGGTATTCCCTGTGCGTTCTGTCGACATTTTGACGCAATGAGCAGCGTGTAGGGTTTTCCCTCCTCGGCAACTCCTACCTGGGACCGCCTATATAGCGACCTACGCGCTGCGGAAGAAGCGAGCGTGCACCCGCACGCTCCCCCTTCGCGCACTGCTGGCCCGGCCCATGTGCGGGCCGGGACGCCGCCTTGTCTTTTTTTGTTTTTTGCTTCTTTTTTTCCAGTAATT